CACTCAAGGAGTTTGTCAGAGAAACCAAACTTGTGCAGTTACACTGTAACAGCTAGGAAGCAGAGGAAAGCAAACATGACAGTAAATATTCTGAACCTTGAATCTTTTCCTGTTCTTGCACTTAGAAGTGACTGTTAGTATCTTCCTTACAGGTGTGCAGTAACTGAAAATTAGTTCTTCTTCTTGAAACCACACATAACTAATAAAGTAACGAGAGGCATTTGATTCCCATCCTTGTCATTGTGGCCTCAGCCTACTCTTAATTCCATTGAACCCAATCTCATCATCAATGTTGAGAACGTTTCACACATTTCCCCCAGGCATTTTTTTTAAATGTATGAGTACAGCTATTTATTCAGCCATTGATTAAGCTGATTGAAGTGGACATGAACGCCACGTAAATTTTCTTTAAATTTTTTTAATTGAATATCTGTGAGATAGACCAGTACTAAGCTGTTCATAATTAGGTTTCTGTCACACATCCAGCACCCATCCCTCCACCAGTGTACGATTCCCACCACCATTGTCCCCTCTTTTCCTTTCACCATCTCCCGACACCCCACCCCTCACCTCTACCGTCCCTCTATGTGAGGCACTTTCCATCTTACTCTCCCTCTCCTTTTACTTTCATGCATTATGGTTTGCAATACAAGGACTAAGAAGTTACAGTGGTTGTTCAGGGCATTCAGTAAGGCTGGAGTAGCTTTTTAACTGGGTGGCAGATTTAACCCCTAGACATTCTTGACCTCAGTCACCGTAGTACTAAGACAAACATAATCTGTGTTATCTCCAAGGCCACACTTTCCCCCCTCACTAAGCTACACCATCAGTCGTTCACATTCTTCAAATAGAGAATTTCAATACCTACGGCCCCACTTGGCATGTCTAAATCCCACCAAAAGCACCCATAGCAACTCATTCTTTTATAATTAAGAGTCAAGCATCTTTTCACTTCTTCCTCCTCTTCTTATCAAGGATCCAAAAACTTGGATTCCCCCCTCCCACACACACCCATGTCAGTTTAAATCTTTTCTTTCCCTTTCCAGTGGAGAAAGCTCACCTCAATCAGCAGTCTCCCAACTAGCTACGCAGGCTCACAATCCCTGACCCCAGCCCTACCTACCCTCAGCAACCTGGAAAGACCTCTGACGAAGCAACAGAGACTCACTACTGGAAATCTTCCCATGGCTTCCTCCACTACTCTTCCAAGCATCTCCCTTGTCCACAATGGCCTTCCTCTTGCCATCCATCCTTCCTAGCAAATCTTTGGCCATTTGAGCCTGTTTGCAGATACTGCTTACTCATCCTTCACTTGGCACCTTGGGGTCTTTTGTTCTGCCTCAGAATGACCCTGCATGTCCTTATTTTTCTCTCTCCTTGGAATTTAAAAATCATCACAAATCTGTGGATGTATCTCTTCTATTTTTTAATGGAGTAATCACCTATGAATATGCAAACCCAAGGATCAGATTCTTGCCAGTGACTTATACCCCCTACTGGTTTCTACCCCTGCCATGGTCCTCTCAAAAGACAACTATCATCTAAAGTTTCATATTCATTAAGCTGGGGATATAGCTCAGTGGTAGAGGCTCTGGGTTCAACCCTTGGCATGACACATACACACACACACACACACACAAATACACACACTCACACACAATTTTCATTATTCCTCTGCTTTAAAAAAATGTACTTCAACAGATATACACATTATATATACATAAAAGATCATATTTGATTACTTGTGCCTTCTAGTTTACGTGAGTGCAATTATGGAAAATAATTTAACAATGCCTCATAAGTTGGCTTTATATACCTCACAAATCAATATTCAATATCCTGGAATTTTACCCAGTGAAATACTAGCACATGTCCGGGGGGGGGGGGGGAAATGAATGATCAGAGCAGCACTCTTTGTAATTATTTTTTACATGATAAACAAAAAGGGTCACTGGCAGAGAAGAATGGAAAAGTGTATTATGTTACAGACACATAAAGAGAATATTTTATAGGCTGAAAAGATGACTTGAAGGGTTGGACCACATGGTTTGCATGCAGAAGGCTCTGGTTCCATCAGCAAAACTATATGGTCCCCAATCACCAAAGGAATGTGTCACAAAAGAGAGACAAAGAAAGGAGAAGAGAAAGATTAGGAGAGGGAGGAGAAGAATGGAGTGGGGAAGAACACTGTACAGTTGCAAAAGATAATGAATTATAAGGACTGGAGTACAGATTCCTGCCTTGCATGCAACTAATCTGGGTTCGATTCCGGCACCCCATATGGGACTCTGAGCCCTCAGAGGATTGATCCTTGAGCACTGGTAGGTGTGGCCCAAGGAAAATCAAAAAGAACTATAATTACACACAATATGGTTCAATCTTAGTGACATAATGTTAAAAGCAGAGAGGAAGGAGTCACAAAAGTTAACTACATGAAACCCCTTTCTCATACCCAATGTTAGCAATTAAAAAGAAAAGCCCTTTAGGGAATTCATGACTTATGCTACCAAACTCAACTATTAACTCTAAAGGGCAAGGACATCTTTCTTATTCTTAAATGCATTTCCCATACTACTAAGCCAGTGTTTTGAATAAATAATTACCCAATAAGTAGCTATCTACAGAGTGCTGCATAACCATTACATTTTTGATAAATTTTCATTTTCTTCATGAACAACCTCATATAAAAATGCACCTATTTACACATTTCCTCGGATCTGTTTCTACAGTGACACTACAGAGTTCCATCTACGACTACTGCATTTTGGAAGAAATTTACCTTTCTTCTTGGAGTGAAGATAACAAAGTTAAAGTAATTATACTTTTATGCTTTAAATTTTATTTTAGGAACTGTGATTCACAATGTTGATAAAGGCAGGGTTTCATGAAAAAAAAAAAAACACCATTCCAACACCGCACCCTCCACCAGAGTGGTCAGTTGCCCTCCACCATGTCCCAGTGCCCTGTCCAGCCCTCCTATTCCCCCACTCCTCCACTACAATGATATGCTCCCTATTAAACACTAGTTCTTAGTTTTCCTTGCCTTTGAGTATTTGTTGTTTCTTTACTATGTTACTTTATATACCACATACGCAATTTAGAAACAAGAAGACTAATAGTATCTGATCCTACAAGCCTCCAACAAAGTAGAACAGTATAATCAAGAGACATCCTAGAAGCCTTCATCATTTGAACCAGGTATCCCAGAGGAATTCATCCACTGAATTGCAATTGAGCTATCAACATCACAACTAAAACGTGGGCCAAAACGGGATGTTTAGGCTTTCTAAAAGCCTAACATTTGAATTTCAATGTATTCTACTATGGTGAGATAAAAATATTTTTAGGATGAAACACAGGAAATCCAGGGATAAAAGTTTAAGTGGGATAATACTGCACCAAGGTTTCTGCTCTCCCCCCCCCCCCCCCCCCCAAGGAGGAGAATGCATAGTCCCTGTAGTGATTAGAGACAGTTACACTGCAGCTTCCCTTCGACCTTGGGAACTCTGCTAACTCCCAGTTACTGTGAGGTCTTGTGTTTCATTTATTATTAGTCTTTGTATCTGCAATGCCGTAGTAGCGTTCCAGAAGAATATCAACAATGTAAGCTCCCAGTACCTAAAACTGTAAAATACCGACCCCCCCCCCCCCCCCACAACACATGCACACGCTGCTAAAAAATAAAACAGGGGAAGGGAGTCACAAATACAGCCAAGAGGTAAAAAAAAGTTAACGATATTAAGATGGGATATTTTACATTCTTACCTTTGAAAAACGACTACTTTTTTTTTTCAGCTCTGTGATACATTAACTATCCACTGATATGTAATTTTTCAGTTGTAGGGAAAAAAATGTTTGGTTATGGTGTGCGTGAGGGGGTGATCACAACCGAATACAAGATACTATATGCTAAAACTAGTCCAGCGATCCGAAAACGGAGATTTTTTTAAAGAGGAAAAAGCCTCAGAGGGCTTAATGTGCAGGAGAGAAATAATCTGGCAAATCAGTGGGCTCACTTAGTTTCGTGTCATTTGCTCCCTGTCCATTATGTAATGCTGTCTCCAGCTTTCGGGCTCTCGGTGGAAGCGACCGTTCAGTTATGTCAGCGAATTGCCATCAAATCAGCATCTGCCCATAACTTTTTCTCAAACAGCTTTAAAGGGTGTCACGTCCATGTGCCTAGGCACCGTCGTGGCTTGAAGAATCAATCAAATCTATAAATCTGCCGGTGGCATGACTTCTTCCCCGCTTGCTCCCCGGTCGTGCATCCTCCTCCTGCAGCCTCCCCCGGCGACACGGTCTGCGGGCAGCTCGGGCTCAATGCAGGGGGACGTGCGTCCTGACTGCAATGCCCAGCCCGTCCGGGGCAGAAGCGGGCACGGCGGCGGCGGCGGGCCCGGCCCGGGCGGTGCAGCGGGGGCTGCGCGCGGGGCGCGGGCGGCGGGTGGGCAGCGGCGGCCGCGAGGGCAGTCCGCAGTGCACGCGCACCACCACCAGCCCCGCGCACAAGTTCCCCCGCGCCCCGCTCGGCTCCCGGGTCCCCGGGAAGGGGCGGCGTAGGCGTCGCGGGCGCGGGCTCGCCGCCCCGCTACAATTACATCAGTCCTCCTACCGGCGCCCGCTGCCAGCCGCACAGCCCCCGCGAGCCGCCGCCGCCGGGATTCCCCCAGCCCGGGGCCGCCACCCGCGAGCCCACCGCCCCGGCGCCCCCCTCCCCTGCCACCCCGGCCGCGGGGTCCCACGGGCACGGCCGCCCCCGCACATCCCGACCCCGCGACACTCCCGCGGGGGACCTCACCTTCAGGAGCCCACCCCCCGCATCACCATCACTACCTCCACCTCCACCGCCTCCACCTCGACCCCCACCCTCCCGCCAGGCGGCCCACCCGCAAGTCCCTCGGGGTGCCCGGCCCTCCGGACGCGCACAATGCACCCCGCGGCCGCGCTGCGGGCGCCCGGGTGGCGGCGGCAGGGGTCGCCTCTGCAGCGGGGACACCGACCTGGAGGGCTGGCGGCGGCGCGGCTCCTGCGGCGGCGGGAGGCGGCCGGGGCGGGCGGGCGGGCGGGCGGCGGCGCGAGCCACGGGGTCCGGCCGGGACCGCGGCGGCGGCGGCGCTGCGCCTCGGAGCTCGGCGCGCCGCAGCCCCTCCTCCCCGCGGGCGGGGCGCGCAGGCGGGCGGCGCTCGGGGCCCGCCCCGGCTCCAGCGGCTGACCAGGCCCCGCCAGGCCCCCTCGCCGCCGCCGCCGCCCGCGCGCCGCCCGGAGCGCGCCCAGGATTCCTCCGAGCCGGGGACCCCTCCCGCCCAGCCCGGGCCGGAGCACCCCAGCCGTGCAGACTCTGACCCCGGTGTCCCCCCACCACCACCACCACCAACCCCCAGTCCGCGAGCACCGCAGGAGCGCCCCCTCCGCCACGCCGGAGCTCTCGGGGAGCGCTCACCAGCAGCCCCAGAGAGCTGGTCCTGGGGTTCGACGGGGGATGGCAATCCGGAGGCCTTCCTGGAGGCGCTCCAGAACTCCCATCTGAGGCTCTGTGTGCGTGTGTGTGCGTGTGTGTGTGTGTGTGTGGCAAAACTTCCCACGCCCAAGAACTTCCCAGACTCAGAAATACACCTGTCCTTGGTGAAAGGTGTGTGTTGCTTAAACATCACTTCAAGGGGCCTGAGAGATATAGTGCAAGGTTTACGACACCAGCCTTGCACGCATCGCATCACACCCTGATTCGATTTCCAGCGCCACACCTGGTTCCCTAAGCGTCGCCAGCAGTAACCCTTAAGCATAGAGCCAGGAGGAAGCCCTGAACACTGCCAGCGGTGGTCCAACATCAACGACCACACACACACACACACACACACACACACACACACACACACACAGCACTACTCCAGCCCTTCCCAACCCCTTGAATTCTTCCCCCCTCTAAAGGGTTCGCTGCCTCCCTCCCTGTGCCCTAGGGTCCACTAATCTCAAGGCAAATTTGCCTAGAAGGACAAGGTTATCTAAATATTTGCTTAGACATTTCTTCTGTAAATAGGTGACTAAGGAAAGGTCAGAAGAACTTCAAGGCGTTTTGACATCACTGGGGGAGTTTGGGGTGTGGTTTTGTTAAAGTGGCCACACCCCACAACTCCCCCCTCTCCTCAAAATGGAATTCAGAGAAGTGAAAGTTGTTGGAGAAACAGCACCGCTTTAGATGTGGTGGAGGAGTTCTCTAGGGGTCTAGTTCTGATAGTGGGGGTCCAGGGAGGTATGACTCATGATGTTGCTACCTTCGGAGACAGACGATGGCATTTGACAGTGCCTTGTTGGTAAATATAGGTTTGTGATGAAACAGTGAAGGAGATGCACTCTTTCTCACAATTTATCTGAAAATTTTGTTTCTGGGGTTGTACTAGTGGTGCTCAGGGTACAATGTTCTAATGTCATCTCTTGCTCTGACTAGCACTGTTTGCATATCGCCCTGTCATAAAACAGTAGCTGCTGGGCCCTGTGACACACAGTCTCGCCTCAGCTCCTCAGTAGAGTGACTCTTGGCTGACTTTTCTCTAAACTCAAGTTCTTGCTTTGATTTGGTTGTTTTGTTGCTTAGGGGGCAGACCTGAGGGGTTGGGGGCTCCTGGGTGGACCCTGTACTTCCTGGGATCTAACCTGGTCTTGGGAATAAAAAGCTTGTGCCCCAGCCCTTTTTGGTTTTGTTTGTGCACCACACCCATTGATGTTTAAGGGTTTCTTCCAGTTCTGCTCTCAGGAATTGCCCCTGGCAGTGCTTGGGGGGAATATAGAGAAGGCAGGGATTAAACCTGGTCAACCGAGTGCAAAGCTTGTACTACCTGGCCAGCGCCCTGTGCTCCAATCCTTTGAGCTCTGTTCCCTCCCCATCTCACTGTCTTCACCTTAAAGAAATATATCTGTGGGGCTGGAGCCATAGCACAGTGGGCAAGGCGTTTACCTTGCACGCAGCTGAGTGATTCTTGAGTGCAAAGCCAGGAGTAAGCCCTGTGCATCATTGAGTGTGACCCAAAAAAAGCAAGAAAAAAAAAGATATATCTGAAAGTTTTTCTATTGAACCTATAATAGCAGAGAACCATAGACTATTGGAGAAGAGAGTGGAACCACAGCATGTTAAATTTTGTTTTATCTTAAAACTGACACAAGGTTGAAGGTGTGACACTACTCTACAGTAATCATCTTGAATCTTTAAGGCCTTGAGTGTGATCCAAGGAAGGAAGGAAGGAAGGAAGGAAGGAAGGAAGGAAGGAAGGGAGGGAGAGAGAGAGGGAGGGAGAAGTCTTCTGTTTCCAGTGTGACCTTGTATATCTGTGAAAATCATGACGGCAGGTGGTCTCCTACATGCCCTGCCATCAGTTCAGTGACCCAGCCACAGAATATGCTTAAGTTCAATATCATATATATATATATATATATATATATATATTTCCTTCTCATTAAAGGTTGAAAAAGAAAAAAAAAGAAAGAGGTACAAGTTTGCAGACTTTTTGTCTGGGCTAGTTTAATATCTCTATTTTACTCTGGCCTCTTCAGTAGTTTTTAAATGTAGAAACCCTACCCTCCTAGCTGATGAATGATAGATAAGATGAGAGAGCAGGGCTGGAGTGATAGTACAGCAGGTAGGACTCTTGCCTTAAGGGGAGCACCCTGGGTTTGATCCCAATATCCCATATGGTGCTCTGAGAACTGCCAGGAATGATTCCTGAGTAACAAGCCAGGAGTAAGCCCTGAGCATGCATGGCCAAAAAATAAAACAGAGAGGAAAAAAAAAAGGAAGATGTGAGAGCATACTTCCATTCATTTGGGAAAATGGGTGGATTAAAAAGAACTGGCTCTACATGTAAGGCAGTTTCTACACTACTTGCACATCACAGTATTTTCCATCCTGGCATCAACATGCCAATATGATTAACAAGCCTTTTTGAACTACGATATGGTTATTTGCTCAGAAGTTACCAGAAAGCAATGCTTTCATTAAGTGTTTGTTCTTGCTGAGAGTTTAAGTGAAAGTTATATTTTGGCTAGAAAGGGATCTCTGCTCCCTAATCCACTCCTTTCATTTGACAAAGAGAAATGCTTGTTCAAGGACTTTTTTTGATAAAGTTAAAGCTCTTTAAGTTTACTAAAGTTAAAAATTCTCTTGAAATATTATTAATAATAGTATAATTAATTTCATTGCACAAGAATGAAAGGAGTGCCACATCAACCATAGTCAAGGACATCAATTCTTTATCCCTCGTCATTTTCATGGTGATTTTTCTATAAATATAATACCTGGGCTTGCTTTCCTCTTCTTTTTAAATTAAAGCATCATGATTTCCAAAGTTACTCATAGCTGAGTTTTAGATATACAGTGTTCCGGCATCACTGCCACCAGCAGTGTCAACTTCCCTCCACCAGTGTCCCCAGGTTCCCTCCCATCACTTTCCACCCTCCACCCCCAGCCTGTCACCTTGACAGTTATATTTTTAATTTGGTTTTTTGGATCTCTTGTTTTGAGTGGTGTTGACTCTGTGGTTTGGATATTTAGCTATACATCACCGGTTTACTCCTTTACACCACAGATATCTAAACCCTTTGACTCTTGACCCCATTGCTTCCTATTGCTTCCTGTCTCTTCCCTCCCCCTCACTTCTTCCTTCCCTCCCTCTCCCCCCGCACCCCCCCCCCCCACACACACACACGGGCTTCTCTATCCTCCTCACTGTACTCTGGGACCAAGGAAGATGATCTAGGAATCCCCTCTTTAGAACATTGCATTCCCTTGTCCAGTTATTTGATCTCACAGGTAAGTGAGATCATCCTGTGTTTGCCCTCTTCTGGCTTACTTCACTGAACATAACTTCCAGTTATGATCAGGTTGCAGCAAACGACATGATTTCATCATTCCTTACAACTTTGTGGTGTAGCTGGGGTTTCTAAGGAAAGTTGAAATGAAACACCAGGTGATCAAGAGGAAGGAAAAGAGAGACCATAATGTTATCAACTTGGCCTATGTTTCATGACCCTGAAGTATTTGTGGACACATTCAAAGAAAAACTGTGCCTGGAGACAGTGGATCAAAGAGAACTAAAACAGAAACATAGGGCCAAGGAGATAGGCCAAAGGGCTACAGTGCAGGGCCAGAGCAATAGTACAGCAGGTAGGGGATCTTCCTTACAAGCAGTCAACTGGGTTTGATGCCCAGCATCCCATATGGTCCCCTAAGCACTGTCAGTAAAAATTCCTGAGTGCACAGCCAGGTGTAGCCCTCCGCATTGCTAGCTTTGTCCCAAAAACAAACAGAAAAAGAAGGGTGTTAAAATGCATGTTTTGCCTGCAGAACCCTGGCTTCCATCCTAGACACATAGGAACCCCTGAGCACCACCAGTTGTGCCCTCTATCCCAGTAGAGGTAAACTAAAGAGCTCCCAGGAGGAGCATCCCCAAGGACCACTTAAGGAGTAACTTCCAGAAAAGGGTGTGACCCCCAAAAACAGACAAAAGAAGAAGTTCAAGCTGCAAGCTCCCTCCATCTCTTATGCCCCTTGATCAAAATTGGCCCCCTGCTTCCAGGCTGATGCATCCATCCACTTTGGTGAGGCTAAAAGAAACAATGCTTGCTCAAAGCCACGGAATGGTGTTACACGGAACTATTCTATAAGCAACTTGGTTATGCCAGAAACTGCTCCTCCATATTATTTTCCTATCTCCTTATCGGTCTCTATCTGTCCAGATGGATGAAAGTGAAGTTGCCTGATATTTAAAAAAAAAAAAAAAGCAGCAGCTATCAACACTCTTTAAGCTGACCTTGACCAGAGGTGGCAGGAGACAACGGGTTTAGCCAACTCCCTTGCTTCTCTTTTGTGTTCTCTGCTAAATAACAGTAAGCACAGTCAAGCTGGTGGACTTCACAGAGAACCTTCTGTAGGATCTACCCCAGGGATCCTGAAGGCAGCAGCAGCAGCAGCGGTAGATGGATGTGCATGGCTTCCAGATTCCCTTACAAGCACTTCTGAGGCTATGCAGAGCCGGTCTCTGAGCAGGAAAGTCACTTTCCCAGCTCCACGTCCATAT